TCTTTTAGGTACCGAACTTATATATTATATTAATAAAGGAGTATAATTAACCAAGTATAAAACTTATCCTTCGCAAATCCTTTGAACCTGTTATAAATTATCTGTGACCCTTTACATTCGTGCAATCCCTTTGTTAGTGAACTTATTATATGATATTGTATTGATTCGCTGTATTGACTTGGAGTCTCTGAAGCGTAATCTCCGAAATATCTTTGAGTTAACTTTGTATTTATTTTGTGTTTACCTCACATGATTTATATTGAAAATAATCCTTTGACGTTATTGTGAATCATCACCCATGATTCCTTGAGTAATTGTCTTAGTTTTATTTACCCCTTTTGAGATTTTATTTGAAGTCACAAAACCATTGTGACAACGTCAAATAGAATCAGATAAAATATATCGTCTATTAACAGCTTCTGAACTTATTACACATAGTATATATTCAGAAAAATATATAATTAATGAAATAAAAACAACTACATTACCATTATTTATATGAATAGGAGATACATATTTTAATGAAAAACTTTACACGTAAATGCTATGATGAAAGAATATAAATTACCATCACTTTTTATAACTTTAATATTAGCAGAATCTAAATGGATTTATTTAAAAGAAATATTAAAATCAACAGATAATAAAAATATAATACTGACAAATAGACCATTAGATATAGCTTTGCATTTTATACATTACAAAAAAGAAATTTGGAACTATATTTGGAAAAATCCTGCAAATAGCAATTGGGATCATCTTAATCATTTTTTTGAACGTGTAGAATTTTAAAATAAAGAAGCATCACATACTTATTCAATACTTTGAGTTAAAAAAAGTATAACAGAAATAATATCAGAAAATCTAATTAGATCTGATTTATCAGATCAAAACTTTGAATCAGAAATTTACCAATTAGTTTTAACACATCAAATTCATACATGTAATTCTAAAAAGTGTGGTAGTCTGACACCTCCAAGTCAAATATGCAAAAAAAACTTTTTTTGATCATATTCTTCAAATACGTATTATAATACTAAAGAATTTAGATATATATATCAATGTATAACTGAAAGGATAGATAGGTAGTTCCTTACTATCCATCTATATTTTTATTATGGAATACTCATATGAATATACAATATGTGAGTACTAAAAATCTTGGTAAATATTTAACCAAATATGTTGTCAAATCAGAACCTTTATATGTATTTAATATATCAGAAAGTGATAAGTATTATGAGCATATAATTGCTCGATGATTAAGCTCAATTGAATGTATATTTTTATTACTTGGTAAAACAATATGCAAATCATCAGTAAAAGTAAAATACTTACCTACTGAATTACCAATAACTTATTCACATGTAATAAGACTAATATCAATAATATTAGATAATAATGATCTATATTAGAAAGACACAATTGAAAAATACTTTGCACATCCACATGATAAATTATTTGATAATATAACTTATTTTGATTATTTTAAAAATTATATATTATCAACCAAAAAACCTTTAAATAATAAAATTTACAAAGACAATTTAAACTATTATATTGTTAAGAGAATATTTCCATAAATTATACATTATAGACACAGGCAAAATGCCGCCAAATCGGACACCATACTGATTTGTGACTTTTTTTTATCAGTCATTTGACTTGGTTAATAAATAAAAATCGATGATATTTCTAATCAGATATCAATCAGTTTGATTTTCAAGTGATAACCATAGTTATGATTGGCAATTATGCTTATTAGTTAAATTAATAAAATCGGTATAAATAGGATAATCCCAATTGATTACTTTTAAAATTAAATTCAAAATAACATTGCCAATACTAATTAATATTAAATAAATTAATAATACATACTATTATATATGGAAATGTCTATTTATTGGAACGACCGCCATATATTTAGTTTTTTTCTTATACTTACTGAAAAGTCCATAGGAATAAAGCGACAATAAATGTTATGAATAAGTATAATCGAATCTCTACTGATATTATAAAAATTATGCTTCCATAGTTCTATATTACAGCTTTCTACATCATTATCATCAATTCGGCATTAAAATCTTATTTGATAGTTCGGAAATGGCAGGAACCATTTAACATAAGCTAACCAATGTGTTTGTTTTCTATTGGAAAATCAGACTTTATGCTCAAAGAAATATTGGACTTGACCAGGAAATATTTTAACAGCATCATTTTCTTGTACAAATTTAGCAAGAATAAACAAGTTTTTCAAATATTTAGGGATATTTGCTGATTCAAAGACTTCAGCACTGATCTGTAATCTCCCATATTGATTGATTTTTGGTATTATAACAATTGGCCGATCTGAACTTTATCGCATTTGAATTAATACAGAAATAGTTGTAAATATTGCATCATATGCGTTATTATAATAATCCACCAAATAATTATATATTTTGTCTGAAAGGTCTACATCTATTTTTTTAGATACTAGCATTTCACCAGGAAAATATTCATTACCAGTTATTGTTTCTTCGACTTGTAAATTATATATTTGTACAAATCGACGTAGTTCATCAAATTCAAAATTATCATAAGCTGCTAAGCTACCAGTTGTTAATCGAGGTTGTATTAACTTAAGTCCATTGGAAAGTTTCTGATTATCTGAGTGTATAGATAGAATGTCATCTAATCGCTAGTTTTGCATAATTATACGTAAAAGTTCTGGCTCAATCTGGTGTTGGCTATTTGGAAATGATCCTAAAATAATTGAATTTATTATTTAATATACAATTTTTTACAGTATTTAAACATAAATAAGCATAAATTTTATGAATCGTTATATAGAGGAATTACCTAAAATACCATTCATCCTTTCAAATAAGTAACACCAAAAGGAGTATAATGGACTATAATCTTGGCAACATTCTGCCAGATGGAGAGAGAGATGAATATTCAGTATTATCACCTCAGATTCATAATTTTCTTCTATTAATAGAGCAACAGATAACAATCGGGTATGTGATTCATTTAACATATTATCGTTAATAATTCAAGATACTAATAAATAGCATGCTCTAACAAAATTAGCTAATATTTGCTGATCGGTGACATCTAAAAGATCCCACATAATTGGAGTAGCATTAAACATAATAAATGTCTTTCACTGATCAGCCGTAAATCCAGAAAATCCCTCTCCAGTTGCCATTTTACAAGGGACTCTTCCTAAGTTTGCTGGTATGTGAATTTTTTTGGCACGTTTGTCCATTAACTCAAGATTTGCTTTGGAGATTTTACTTCCATCAATCCATAACCTTTTTACAATCCAATATGCAATTTCTAAAAATAGGTTATGCATCAGATCTATAACAAGATGTCTTATTGGATTGTGATAAGGAAAACGAAGCAGTTCAGACCATCTAATATGAGTCCTACTAACATGCAATTTTCTATCTTCCTTTGTTTGCTGATGTTTCCAAATAATAGCATTAATCTGATGCTCAATTGGATTCTTCATTATAAACCATTTATCCATATCTCCAAATCCTCCAAAATTAGCCCTTTGGTCTTCTTCTCCATCAGCCCTTTTGTAACATCAATGATATCTAGCTAGGGCCGATATATAACCACATAGCATTCTAGCAGCTGGTATATCATTTGAATAACAAATTATTGCCAATCTGATTTGTTTACTAGTAGGATATTTATTGGTAACTAATAGGTCGACACCTTTCTAGAATTCCAGTAACTCATCAACTATTGGTGTAAGATAATGGTTTATTTTATGAAGTTTGACTTTGTTAAGTCCCAGCAGTAATGCTAATGTCAACATATTTTTTTTTTAAACCTTATTTCGCAGGGTAGGTTACAGATTACACCATAAATTGCTCCACAACTATATGCTGATGACTCAAAGGGCTGAAACCAATCTAAATTGATCATAATACCTAGATGAGTTTTGGCTATTTCATATGAGAAAAATCAGAAAGCATCTGGAATATCTAATCATAATAGAAATATTTTCCATACTTCTCCTTTATAAATATCTAACATCATACCAGTTTCAATATTTCGATTGGTCCATTTTTTCAAATTCTGTTCAAAACCTGGTCTTTGATACATTGTGACTAATTGAGTCTTTAAAGATGGTAATGTATATATCATTTTTGGATGCTAAACATGACCTTTAACCGCTGGAACCTTTTTTAATAGTTCTGATATGCAAGGTTTGCGTTAGCTTTGCATTGGGTGACTAGGAAATTTAATATAATTACATTTGAATTTAGTAAAATTGGTATTATTTTTAATTATTTCATTGATATTATACAATTTATTGCAGTTCAGACATACTGCAAATATTTTTGATTTTTTTTTAATGTCAAATAATTTACGTGTTATATAAGCAGTAGAAGGAAAATTTTTAAATCTTCGTGAATCAGCATCTTTTAAAACAAGATCAAAAAACCTAATTAACGCATTAAGTGCAACATCTGGTAGCCAAAATCTTTCTTGGTACTTGAATATCTATAAAAGTATCTATAAGTTATCATAATTATCTGTTTGAAGACTTGATCCATCATCAAAATCATCAAAATTAGGAGCTGTGAATAAATCAACTGGAATATCTTCATTTAGCATAAATTTTTCATCAGTTTTCTCATCAACCAAATCCTCATTAACTGAATCCTCTTTATCACTAGAAGAGTTAGATGATTGATCAGAATCAATGATTTCTTCATTAGGTTTTCTATAGTGATCAATCCTCTTTCTTTTC